GCTTTCAATTCACAGAGTGATTTACAGCCACAGCTAACTCTTCTGAATGAGTGAATTGGCTGGACTGGTTGTGTCTGTCTGTCTACGGCTCACTCCATTACAAATCTACATGACTAATTCATGGTCCCGGGACAGGGGACACCGGCTCCTCAAGATCCATTTACCCTCATCTCCTCACGATTCTGCCCGGATTCCACTACACTTCTTCACTTCTCCCTCACCTCCATCCTGTCCTCCCTTATCCCCTCATCTCTTATTCATCCGGAGGTGGAGTACTGTATAAGGAGCAGTCCTGCGGATATACAGACTTAGAGACAAGTTGAGTGGACAAATAGAGGAACAAACTGCACTTTGGGTGGAAGGCGAAGGAGATAGAAAGAGTGAAAGAGGGGATGTGTTACTATCTATTTTGGCCTTTCAACTGTTATTTTGCAGGAGTTTACGCAGATAGCATCATTTCACTGGCTTTCGAGCACAGTTAACTTTTGTGTGGGATCAGATATTTCTTTTTCAACCCTGTGTGTGTATGTGTGTGTATGAGTTTGTAAACCACATTATTCACAGTAGATAAAGAGTCCTTCAACTTCTCACCTCAAACTATAAAACACATGGTGCAAGGAGAAAGATTAAGGAAGGATTTTCAGGCGGAAGGGACAGAACGTCCTGGTGTACCACAATATCTCCCCTGGCACCTATCTAGTGAACAGGAGCAATATAAGCGTGTGTTTGCTTTTAGCTGGCTGTATGTCTTTTTCACGCAAGTCCTAAATAAACATTGCTTATCTGTCAAAGGTGGGAAGAAGGGGAGATTCTCCAAACATTTGATAGCAATTAAGAGAAGTTGAAAAAGGGACAAACTTGCTTTTAGGCGTGCATCTCTTTGATGCTGTCACAACCAAAACATCATAAGCAATATTAGCAAAAGTTGTTCACGTTTGTGTATCCTCACCCACCGTACCCATGCTTTATCCAGCAAAGAGGATACATGTAAATGTGCCTTTGGAAATTGCTGTCAATAAAGGTAGTACATCATTTTGTATTTAGAGTCTTTTCTAATCTTCACACAGCATGTGTGTGATATAGTAGCAGAATAATGTTGAGATGTCTCTACACTGTGATACCATAAAGCCTTGAATACTTTACAATCTTCACATGCCTTTTGTGAAGATTGTAAAAGAAGACTCTTTTCTTTTACATCTTTTTTTAATTGATTGTAATTAAATAGAAGGAATTCAGTCCATGTGTCCCAGTGGTGGGAGGATGAAGTAATGATCAGCTCGGCTGTTAAAAACAAGGTTAATGAATGACAAGTGATGGAAGAAGCGTGAGGGTGGAATATGCAGAGGACATATAATCCTACACACAGCACACCCAACATGTAAACACACACACACACACAGCATGCCACTGCTAATTTAGCATGTGCATCAGAGCCGTCAGAAATAACGACACGCCTGAGGAAAACTTGCCTGCCTAGGTTATTGGCAACTGGTCACAAGTTTGACACACACACACACACACACACACACACACACACACACACACACACACACACACACACACACACACACACACACACACACCACACACACACACACACACACACACACACACACACACACACACACACACACACACACACACACACACACACACACACACACACACACACACACACACACACACACACTCACTGTGGTCTGGAGATAGGGATGGGCAACCTTGAGTAAATCAATTACAAGGTTCAGTGTCAAGTTGAAGGTCACGAGGAGGGCACCATAACAATATCCCAGTGACAGCCTGTGAATAGCTGCCAGCACTAAATCAGCTGTCTGCACGGGCAGATAGAGCGGACACTTGTGGAGCAGGCAAATGAGTCCTGAGAGGACAAGATGAGGACTGAGCAGATGTCCTTGTTTGTTTGGCGGAAGAAATACTATCCCATGCGCTGTAATAGGAAAAACAACCTGACATTAATATGGCCCTCTGCGCTTATCAGAAGCACCAGCAGTACGGCCATCCTCCATCACTCTTTATCTCTTTCTGACTTGTTGCCTCTGTGCTTTAGTTTCTCTCGCTCTACCTCTCACAGCGTCTATATTTATATCCCCAGCATAGCCGCTGTTGTCCGGCATAACCAGATTTAGTGCCCTTGAGCTTGACAGCGAACTGCAATCAGCTCCACACTCCCCAGTGCCATGAGCCATAGTAAATACAAACACTAGGCCTTTTATGGTTCCCATTGTCCTTTCATGGAATAGTTTGTCATTTTGATTAATATGCTTATTTGCTCTTTTGCCAACTTAGACTATAGATCGATGTAACTCGTTTATCTGTCTCTATTCCATTACAATAAGTCAGATCTGCAGTCAAAAGTATTCGGATACTCTTTCCACATAATTGTGTTTACTTTTGGCGAGATGTTCAATGACTATCACAGCTTACTGTTTCTCTGCATCTGCTCCAATGAAGTAAATCCCAAATGGTTTGATCTGAGCTTGGTTTGTTAAAAAGCTATTATGGTGAAGAAGACATCCTGAAAGTTATTTTTGATGTCCAATTTCTGTTATAAATCATAAATGGGACCAAACGTGATAGAGAGTGATGGATATGTTAAGTAGCATTAAGCCTTTCTCTATTTCCCTTATCAGCTATTTCAGCTGACCAACTTATCAGCTATCTCCTCTACATGGTCTAAATGTCTCTGGTTTTGTCTTAAACAGATTTTCTTTGCTATTGTTCTTCTCTTCCATTTCCTACTTCCATCAGCTCAGCTCAGAACTGACTGCACGTTGGAACTATCCAAGGTGCTGAATCTTGCTTCCTTTCTGTCTCCATCTGTATTTTCTTTTCTTCCTCAGCTCATGTTGTATTCATTGTTGGTCAAAAGAAATGCATTCCGCTTTGCATTTTTCTTTCCTTTCACTTTTCTATTTGTATGCTTTTTCTTTCATTGCTTCCTTTGAAGATACATGTTTTAATCTATGGTTTTAATGCTATGTAGTTTTCTGTAAAGCTGTCATTAGTGCTTATTCTCTTTGCCTTATGATAACACTTTCTTTCTATCCCTCTTTATTTCTTGCTGACCACTTAAATCCTAAACAAACCCATTCCCGTTTTTCTGGCTTATATGTCCTTAATTATGCTGGAGGGGGATAAGACACATGTATGACTAAAGGGAATATTGCATTTTAGTGATGCATTGTGGTCTGATGCCCTCATATCAAAGCTTCCAGCCACCCGTGTGCTTAAAAAGGGTATAACTGACTACATCCTCATTGCAGGCTTGAATTTAAACTCCTTGTTTTCTGTTTCTTCATGAGCAGAGACAACATGACAGACCTATGTCAATCCTGCACCACATGCAAATCTCAGTTGGATGCAGCTAATGTATTCAAGCTTATTGATTCGTTTGCCAACTCTAAGCTGTAGACAGCGAGAGCGTTAACAATTCCCAGAAAAACTGTTTACTTTCTTTGAAAAAGGGATCAATTAGAAAGAACTGCAAAGGCCTCCAGGCTCCACTGCACTGCCCTGATTTGCAACAAACATAAGATGCCATCAATTAGGACCATAAATGATGGAAACGTGATGTGGAAAGGAAATGGCAAACTCTTCTGGAGTTCAATTATCTGGCAACCGTCTAAGTTTTGGTAAACTAGCTAATGTTATCGTTCCAACTAGGGGGATTAGGATTTGTTTTTTTAATTGGAAAATGATGAGAATAAGTCACTTTTCATGCAATATCACGTGGACATGTCAATTATTTAACTCACAATGCCTTAAAAGCATAGTATATATCTACAGTTGCAAGAAAAAGTATGTGAACCCTTTGGATTCTCCACACATAGCATTGTGTGTTCCTTCCAAACAACTCAACTTTGGTTTCATCTGTCCACAGAATATTTTGCCAGTAGTGCTGTGGAACATCCAGGTGCTCTTTTGCAAACTTCAAACGTGCAGCAATGTTTTTTCTGGACAGCAGTGGCTTCCTCCGTGGTGTCCTCCCATGAACTCCATTCTTGTTCAGTGTTTTACGTATCGTAGATTCGTCAACAGAGATGTTAGCATGTGCCAGAGATTTCTTTAAGTCTCTAGCTGACACTCTAGGATTCTTCTTCACCTCATTGAGCATTCTGCGCTGTGCTCTTGCAGTCATCTTTACAGGACGGCCACTCCTAGGGAGAGTAGCAACAGTGCTGAACTTTCTCCATTTATAGACAATTTGTCTTACCATGGACTGATGAACATCAAGGCTTTTAGAGATACTTTGGTAACCCTTTCCAGCTTTATGCAAGGCAACAATTCTTAATGGTAGGTCTTCTGAGAGCTCTTTTGTGCGAGGCATGGTTCACATCTGGCAATGCTTCTTAAGAATAGCAAATTCAAAACTGGTGTGTATTTTTTATAGGGCAGGGCAGCTTTAACCAACACCTCCAATCTCGTCTCATTGATTGGACTCCAGGTTGGCTGACTCCTGACTCCAATTAGCTCTTGAAGAAGTCTTTAGCCTAGGGGTTCACACCCTGCACTGTGAATGTTTACATGGTGTGATCAATAAAAACATGAAAACATATAATTGTTTGTGTGGTATTAGTTTAAGCAGACTGTGTTTGTCTATTGTTGTGACTTAGATGAAGATCAGAACACGTTTTATGACCAATTTATGCAGAAATCCAGGTAATTCCAAAGGGTTCACATACTTTTTCTTGCAACTGTACTGTACCCTTGCTTTTTTTCAAATTAATAAGTATAATATGAGGATGAGTGACTCCGGAGTGCTTGCATATCTCTCTCCCCCCTCCTTTCTCTCTCTCTCTCTTTCTGTGACAGGCGTCAAAAATACCACCAAGGGAGCGCGAATCAGCAGCTTTCCACGTAGCCACATTTGCCTGTCCACCGTACCGAGAATCCTAAAGAAAAGTCATATTTTCTCCGGACAGAGACCCACATCACCAAGGTGACTGTGGAAAGAGCGTGTTTTTTTCTACTCTGCTGGTCCAAAGTGACCGAAGCCGGACTGATTCGACTTTACATGCCTGAGAAAAGATACAAGTCGTTCACCTTCTCTGCGAGACACACAGACTCAGACCTGCTTTGAGACTAAAATGAGGAAGAAGATGTGGATATTTCACAGGGTCGACCATTCAAAGTGTTTTTTTCTCATTTGGAATCAGTGTTTGTATTACGCAGCGGTGGCGTGTTTGTTGTTTTCCACTGTCAGGACGGATGTCGCTTGCCCAGAGGACTGCATCTGTGCCAGAGACTCCGGGACAGTGACCTGCCGTGACGGGAAGGACACCGAGGTACCAGGAGATATACCGGAGTGGACGTCCACCTTGATACTCAAGGGGAGAAACATTTCAACTTTGCAGCGTGGTGCGTTCATGAGCAACGGGACGGAGACGGAGTTGACTACACTCTCGCTCTCCTATAACGGGATACGGGTTATTGAACATTACGCATTCCTGGGACTTGCTCGATTGCATTTGCTGGATCTTAGCCACAACTCGCTGGAGTTTATTTCAGCCCGGGCTTTCCACGGGTTACTGGAGCTGCGCTCTCTTTACCTAAATCACTCGCTTTTACCTCCAGCCACGGAGCAGCTCTCAAATGCACTCAGCACACAAAGTTTGCCCAACCTCCACCGACTGGAGTTGGCGGGAAACATGCTAAAGCATATTCCCCAGATTCGGTTAGATATGCATAATCTCCACGCTTTAGTGCTGATAAACAACTCAATAGAGAGCATAGGAGGGGACAATGTAACCACGTTGTACCAGCACAGGCGAATTCGCTTCTACTTATCTTTAAACCCATTTCGGTGCAACTGTGAGCTGGAGGCGTTTTACTACTGGTTGAAGAACTCTTCCCAGTGCCCGGATGCAGGGCGGCTCGTGTGCAGCGAGCCGGAGTCCAGGAGGGGGGTCCCTGTGGAGAAGCTCAGGGAGGAGGACGTGGATTGTATGAACGAGAACCTGGAGGCGGTTTCTTACGTGTTTCTCGGTTTGGTGTTGGCTCTGATCGGGTTGGTGTTTCTCATGGTGCTCTATCTAAACCGGGGAGGCATCAAAAGGTGGCTCAACAACATCAGAGATGCGTGCAGGGACCAGATGGAGGTCTACCACTACCGGTACGAGCAGGACTCAGACCCGAGACTGTCCAATGTGGCTGTTTAACCATCAGAAACATATCAAAAAGACTGGGGAGATTCCCTGGCAGTGCCCTGTCACAGTCAAAATCAATAGTTTTTACAATCACTTTCATAATTCTCAGCAGCTGGCCAATGAACTGCATGCATATTCCTCTCACAGTGGGATATGCACAGAGCCAAACACAGATAACGAGACTATTAAGCGTTCATCTTACACAACTGAATACTTAAAACTTCCAAGCACTGTTGTACATATTGTATCTTGAGAGGATTGTGTTAACTTGCCCAATCTAAAGCAGCTTATCCAACTCAGTATTATGTATATTATTAACCAAGTGACAAATATACAGTAGAGTACATACATATAATTTCAGTTGTATTAATGCTGGAACGAAACGGTGAATCAATGTAATTACTGAAAACTGTAGTTGCAAAGTTATGGCCTACATTCAGGACACCCCAGAGAGAAAAAGGTTGTTTCTAATCTACCGAGAGTGCATATTGCAAAGTGCTGAGAGAGACGGGCAGGTAAAATGAGGCAAGGAAGCTGGTAAATGCCATTTTCCCGCAAGCAGGCAATGCTAGAGTTAACTGTCATATTTCATCATGGAGAACACAGGATATGTTACCAACCTTGTCTTTCCAAACCACCTCTGACCTCTGAAAATAACGTTTATCATTTGACACCAGGTCAGTTTATCAGTTAAAGGGCAAAAGAGACAGAGTCTAACCATGCATGTGATTGTTGTAGGCATAGAAAACCAAACAAAACATTAATAAAAGGTCAAATAAAAATGGTGAGTTAGCAGTGTTCTTTACGTCACAACATTTTATCATCACTGTCAGGAAATGTTGACTTCATGCAGCACTGTGCCAGATAATAAACAAAGGAAGTGTTTCCCTATTTGTATTTAATCAAAAACATATTTTTTAAAAACGAATTAGCTCCATGTAGGCGTGAATGAGTGCACCTGCTCCATGTGAACATTTGAGTAAGTGTCACTGAACTACAGTAAGATGTCACATTGTCAGCCCCTCGAGGCTCTCCAAAAAAGGTCTGGACTTTCACATCTGTTTTATTTTTAAAGCATCAAAGAGTGCAGGGCTGGCAGAGGTCTGCGCGGGGAGATATAGCATGACAGAAAGGCATGGCAGTGTTAATCAAATCAGCCCAGCTGTGACGAATAAACCTTGGGAAATCACGATCGACCTGTGAAGTCAGTGTCTCTCTGCAGCCCGGAGCTTATCAAGCCTCCTAACTCAAGGTCTGCACTCTGTACTACAATCACAGGGATTTCTGAACCACGGGTCATACAGGAACATCTGCACAACAGCAGGAGATAGGAATGTGTGTGTGAGGATATCAATTCAAGTCATGTGAAAACCATGTCAGGCAAAGAACAGATGAAGGTAAAAAGCAACACAGATGTCTTTGTGAAACCATCAGGGATTTTGATCATTTCATCATTTCTTTCATAAACAGGTTATAGTTTGCATTTTTTCCTATTTAACCTCAGAGGGCAGAAAACACTTGAAAATTAAAAAAAAAAAATGTGTGTATCAAAATAAGCGACCGGCAAAACTTTCAGGAATCAATGTGATTTCACCTGCTTTTCCTTAAACATGTAAATATAAGATAATTGCTGCAGATTTAAAACATTTGTTTTGTCATTATTTATTAGATACTTCTGAAACACGGGCCACTAGAAAGATAGATAATTTTCTCTTCCAATTCCACAAGGTCAGCAGTGTAGGAGCTGCCTTTACATAATGATGTCACTGAGATGTGAGACATTGTGACTTACATGTCAGGTGCCATGGCAGTGTCCTGGGCATGTCATGTTATATATGGAGACTGAAGAGACAAGCTTCATTGTTAGGAAAGCATTGTTCAAAGATGAAAGCATGTTGACTTGACTCATGTTGACATCATACACTTTCATGTGCATAATGATTGAGATACATTTTCAACAAGGCTCTTTACAGTAGCAACAATACATCCATCATAAAGGAACAACACAGCCAAACATCAAATACATTACACTCATGACAATGATATGTTGTGTATGTGTGTGTGTGTGTGTGTGTGTGTGTGTGTGTGTGTGTGTGTGTGTGTGTGTGTGTGTGAGTGTGATGTGTACTGTATGCATGTCATACCCAGTCTACACCTACACAGCTTTATAGGACACAGAGCTCAGAGCTAAATGTCAACATCAGCATGCTCACAGTGAAAATGCCATCATGCTGATATTTAGCATGTATAATGTCTATGATGTTCACCATCTTACTTGTCATCATCTCTTGAGCAATGTTGTTCCATATGTTTAATAAAATAGCTCATATCTAATGATATCTTCATCCTGCCTTTGCTGACACATTCTCTCTTTGTTGTATTTTTCTCCTCAGTCATCAGCTTTTTTCCATTTGTAATGGATTCTTGAACACAAATAAAGAGTTAGCGGGAATACAGTAAACTGAATTTGCATGTTCAAAGTATTCAGGCATTCTCCATACTGTATGTTTGACCTCTTATTGCTGTATTTATTTTCTCCTCTGCTATTTTGCCACATTCTCCTTACAAATACCATGCTTCCCAAAGACTTCCTTTCTGCCTTACACGGCCCACCCCCGCTCTCTGTCTATTTCCCACTCTCGCTCCCCTTCATCCGGGTAAATGACTTTATCCAGTTGAGTGACTTTGTAAAGGATGCGTAGACAGGGTTTAAGCTGAGCACAGTAAAAAAGGAAGAAAGAAAAAAGACAGATAAAGGACAGGGAAGTAGAGAAAATATTCATTAGAGTTCTTTAGTCCAGGCACTGAATGTCCTTGGCTTATGTAAAGCTATGACTCACCCTCTCCTTTCTTATATGAATGTCTGGGAGGCAAAAGCTCAACTGCAAACGATGGGACACGTCTAAAATGAATGTGAAAATCAACTATAAACCGCTGCTGCTATCATATCTGAGTTTCTGAACTTCCAGCAACTTTTTAAATGACCTCTGTCTCTCCTCTGTAGGAACACTCACTCTGATGTCTCATAGCCCATCAACCACTGATTGAATAGTATGCATCAAGCTGAAAGTAAAGGTTGTAACTTATGGAGAGAAGTCTGCCAGTTTACAGTCTGCTGATTACTGGTTATTGATTGCTGGATGTGCCTCTGCTGCCTTGTGAAGATACATGAAGGGGTTTGTTATCGCAGGAGAGGAGAACGAGACGTGTTTCTGAGGACGGGGGGGGGGGGGTTTGTTATCGCAGGAGAGGAGAACGAGACGTGTTTCTGAGGACGGGGGGGGGGGGGTTTGTTATCGCAGGAGAGGAGAACGAGACGTGTTTCTGAGGACGGGACGGGGGACGGGGGACGGGGGGACGGGTTGAGAGTCAAATCCGTCCTGTTAGATTCTACTGAGGTTAAATTGTCTATGACGTTAAAGAGTAGAAGAGGGTTCATGTTTCAAATAATTATTTTATTGGTAAAACTTGATGAGATGAGAACAGTCCAATGAAAGGGAACTGTGTGCTAATGTTTGTATTGGGCAAAGTGACCTAAGAGCAATGGGATTTTATATTTCTCTTTTTATCCAATCTCTGTCCCACGCAAAACCAGTAGCCAGAAATTCCCCCTGCATCTGAAAGGTTAACTTTTTACTCCACTTCAAAAGACAAATCTTTCACACATGTTCCCATCGACTACACATGCATTGCATTTTTGATTCAGTACTAATGTTTACATACAGAACAGGACAGCAGCTGTTAGTAATAAAAAAGGCGACCAATGGAAGAAACTTTGTGATGCAAAATCTAAATTATTAAACAGTATTTTTTACTCCTCCTCTGCCCTGGGTGTGCAAACTGATATTAGAATTTGTTATATATACATGGAAAAATATTGGCCAGTATTTTCTCTAAAATCAGCACATCATTCAAACAAACAAGTCTGATTCTGATCCAGATAGATTTGTATTAAAGGGAACATTTGCCACCTTTTACGTTGGTGTCTAAACATTGATTGTTGATGGTTAATTGAAAGTTGGCACTGAATAATACAAATAAATGCGTGAGGTATCAAATAAATACAGATATTGTATAGCTATCGGTATTGAGACATTTCAAAACATTAGCCAGCCCTATGTTCATTTGTATATCCATACATGTTTCACATAGCACAGATGATGTAATAAAAGATTACAATGCATTCTGGGTAAATATGCTCCTCTACAGTCTGCCATTGCTCACTTCCTCCCTCAGCCCTTGAAGGCTTGAACTCACAAAAAATCCCTTGAGATCAGACATTAGATTTGAGAGGATTGGATTTAAGATGGTGACGGGGACTCCCCCAAGAGCAAGTCAACAACGTGTTTTTAAACACAAACATCAATGAATAAGTGTCACTAAAATGTTTACTTTGAATACATTTTTAATTAAAGTCTGTTAAAGGCTCATTATTAGTTTGCACCCCCACAAATTCCCTTTCATTTTGAATTGTCAGAATGCAGGCCTGGGATTCCCTACATGCTCTTATGAGATTAATTAAGCTTTAACTTGAACAGTTAACATTTTGTTTGTTTGTTACAGGGAAGGTCATTACCCTGCATTCAGTGGTAATGCCATCATAATTGGAGCTCATTAGAGCGACTCCCAGGAGTCACAGAGGCAGGAATCATTTGTCTGGGGTCACTGTGACTTCGCTGATAATAAATGCACCCTCTGGGAAAAGTATACTTTTGGCATGTCATCATAATATTGTGTTGGCTTATGCTTCTAAAATACACACACAGTAAGATAAGAAAAGTAAGAAGTCCAGCATTGTATGATTAAAGTTAGGATAAGAAAGATACTTATTAAATAATGCATCAATCCCATTTTTCGCCTGCACTCCTCCAGTCAATACTTTATTTTCTGTCTACTCTGCAGTGCAATAACTAACCATGGGAACCAAAGTGGTGAACTCTGTCTGGCCTTTAAACTCAAAGGTCATGTGGGCTTTGATCAGGACCACATCAGGGTCTAAAGAGGTCGACTGCAGTGCAGGCTGGTTTATTACTTTATTCATCCTGTACTGTGGATAAACACAGTTAGCTGGTCGATCAGCCTCTGACCAGCAGAACTGGATCTGTTCTAACAAGCTGTACAGGTGCCTCAGATCTATACACTAATTAAACCTTTGACTTTCCTGTCAATGTCTAAGCAGTCAATATATGGAATGATTCCACGAGAGAGATACAGAGAGATTGCTCTGACCTTAATCCCTCACTGAAGGACAAATATGAATTCCCTTAGATTTCACACGCTAATTTCAATCAAGTTATGTTGCAGCGAGGGCACAGGTGCGTTTGGATTAGATAATTCGGTTAACATGCATCACAAATACCCCTCACATCCCAGGTTATGGGAATGATTGGAACTGTGACGCTTATGCAAAATATATAATCCAGGCACCATGGCCGTTATCATACAGAGAACTAAGAAATCACATAAAGGTCAATCATTGGTGCTTTGCGCCAAAATATCAGAGACAAACTGGCTGACGCCCTTATGGATAGTTTGAACATCTTCAAACTAAGTTTTTGTCCACTAAATATTGAATCCAAGCAGCTGCCTCGCTGCTGAGAGTAAGTCATTAAGATTTTAATGGATGGCCTGTCCTCTCAAGGACAAGTAGGAAATATAACCAGCAATCACTCCATCAATGTTTAAATGAATAATTAAATGTAAAAGTTGTACATTTATTATGCCATGCCCGGCAGCACATTTTAATAACAGATAAACCCACACGTTCTTTGCCTCAGTTTAAACCTGCATGATATCTTGAATTCTGTGGTGAAGATACGAGAAAAAATGACATGCAGATGTTTAA